GGCTGGTATACGATGATGATGTTGCCCACAGTGGCAGAAATGATATGATGGTATGCCCTCAGAGGCTTGATGATGTTATGTACGTACAGACCTATGCATTACATGACATTTATACGCATATGCATGATTTTATAAATACTTCATGATTTACATAGCTTTCCAGACTTACAGGTTGAGTCCTTTACTCCATGTTTCTTCCATGTCCTTTATATACTTATTTACATGCCTTACATACTCAGTACATTATTCGTACTGACGTCCTTTTGTTGGGGACGCTACATTCATGTCTGCAGGTATAGATAAACAGTTGGACGAGCCCTCATAGTAGAAGAGATTGGCATTCGGCGAAGGATCGGTAAGACTCCACCTCATTCGGAGTGCAGCCGAGTCTATGAGTCATCGTGTCAGAGTTTTGCTACAGACTTATGGGTAGGCCGGTACCCTGTCTCATTTGATGTCAAATAATCCTAGAGGCTTTGTAGACGGAGGTTCATTTTGTACAGTATGTCAGAGGCCTTGACGGCCCACATGTATTCATGTTTTAAGAAAAATGATTCAGTGATACAGTGTTTTCCCACCTACACTTGTACATTATGAGTTGTGTCCATGTTGGCCCATGATAGTTACAAAAGGAATGAGTTTAGCCAACTCGACCTATGTAAGTTCTAATTTTTGTCGAATGATCATGAGTTACAGAGTGGTTCGCTCGGGCCAGCACGGCATCGGGTGCCAACCACGCCTCCCCAGGTTCGGGGCGTGACAGTTTCAATGTTGTTTTAGGTGTTTGAAGAGGTGCAAGTTTAGAAGGTAGTATATGACTTGCTCGTGCTTTTGGTTGAGGTCGCGGGGGCCTTGGGGTGATTTTGAATAGTTGACGGGAGGTTTTGAGTTGGAATTGGCAGCTGAAGTGCTAAGTTCCTATCATAACCGCACCTGCGGCTTGGGGACCGCAGGTGCGGGCCCGCAAAAGCGGAAATGGAGTCGCAGTGGCGGCCAAGTGAAGGGATGGCTAGAGTCGCAGATGCGGGATTCTTAGCACAGATGCGGTGGCTGGGCGGATACGTGAAATCCGCATATGCGCACCTAGGACCGCAGGTGCGGGTCCGCAGGTGCGATAATTGGGATGCAGATGCGGTTTTGCTGGGTCAGAACATATATATTCCACCCTTCGCGGGTTAGTTTTTCATCACATTTCAAATGGGAAGAAGCTTTGGAGAGCAAATTCAAGGGGGAATTCAAGAGGGTTTCGTAGAGGTAAGGTCTTTGGTCCCCAAACGTATTTTTATGATGATTTTTAACGTTGTAAGCTTGACATCTATGGGAAAATCAATAGCAAATTGGGGGCTAGGGCTTGGAAAATTGGAGACCTAAAATTTGGAATTTGAGGGGTCATTGGTGGTTGGATTTTGGTAAATTTGGAATGCATGAACTCGTGGGAGGATAACGATTCCATTGATGTTAATTTTGTCGGATTCAGAGATGTGGGCCCGGGGGTCGGGTTTAGCCAATTTTGGGTTTCTTGATGCAATTTGATTATTTTCGCGTGGGCTTCGTTCCCTTAGTATGTTCTAATGTTATGATATTGATTTTGGGTAGATTCGACGCGAGTTGAGGCCGATTCGAGAAGCAAAGGCATCGCGGGCTAGAGTTTGGACCGGATTGAGGTAAGTAATGATTGTAAATGTTGTCCTGAGGGTATGAAACCCCGGATTTCACATCGTTGTGCTATTTTGAGGCGGCGCACACGCTAGGTGACGAGCGTGGGTTCGTGCACCGTTGGGGATTGTGACTTGGTCTTTCCCGTACGACTATTAAGTCGCGTATTTTACTTGAAAGCTACTTGATATCGTTATATTTTAGAAAATATTATTGTGTTTGGGGCTAAATGTCGTGTCCGGGCCATGTGCCGATTGTTTGGATCCTTAGGGGCTTTTACTATTGTTTTTCCTCACTGTTTTGGTTTAAGGTTTACACTTAGTCATGCTATGTTCTTACTGTTTTCATAACTCGGTTTTGTTCACTCCTTTTGATTTCATAAATAATTTTGAGCCGAGTACTTGTTTTACTATCTGCCCGAGGGGCTTGAGTGAGATCTGACTGAGTGAGGCCGAGGGCCTATGCTGTGAGGATATTGAGATATATTGTGAGGCCGAGGGCCTGATTGATCTATGCCACGAGTTGGCTTATTGTTATAAGGCCGAGAGCCTGATTTGTTATGCCACGAGGTGACTTGTGATAGCGCTTGGGCTGTAAGGAGCCCCTCCCGGAGTCTGTACACCCCTAGTGAGCGCGGGTACCCAGTGTGAGGTGTGATATTGCCCGAGGGGCTGTTGTTGTTTTCATGTTATTGCCCGAGGGGCTAATACGAGTGATTGTGGGATAGCCCGATGGGCTGGTTCTATTGATATTTTTGCCCGAGAGGCGGTTATGGTACATGTTTTGCCCAAGGGGCTGTTTTACATTTCTATACTTTTACTCACCGCTTCCATCACTCGTATGAAACAATTGAAAAATGTTTAAAAGGGTTTACTGAACTGGGATGTTTTTACGGGTTTTACTGTTTTACTGCATTGATATGGACTTATACTGTTTTGCTGTAGCATTATATTGTGGTTTATGTGTTTTCTTACTGCTCAGCTGCCTTTATTTTATTACTTACTGAGTTGGCGTACTCACATTACTCCCTGCACCTTGTGTGCAGATCCAGGAGTCTCGGGTCACGCTAGCGAGTGCTGATTTGTCTTCCAGCAGGCTTTCAGAGTTGACTAGGTAGCTGCTTGGTGTTCGCAGCCCTGTGCTTCTCCTTCCTATATTTATTCTGCTTTGTATTAGCTTTGTTTTAGACTATGTTGTCTTTTTCATATTTACTAGACGAGTTGTAGTTGCTCATGACTGGTGACACCTCGATGTTGGCTGTGTTTGTTTTCGCATTGTTCTATTTTACCTTACATTTTGGGATTTTAGCTTATTAATGAATTTTAAATGAATTATTATTAGTGGATTGGTTTTGGGGTTTGTGTCGTCTGGCCTAGTTTCACGATAGGCGCCATTATGACCTGGTCTGTTTTTGGGCCGTGACAACACACTTCATATCTGAAGAAAGGTTTGGTATTCAAGAAGCCTGTAGCTAATTGAGATTCTACAATCACAAAGTCAAGCACTACAATGAAGCTTCAAAATAAAGTCGACATATGTTGAATAGAAGAAGATTCAATATAATCCATCAGAAGATATCCGGGAAATTATCACCGTGATTTTAGTAACAGACAGGAAATCAAGTCTCAAGGATGTGATGCAAAGGTCAATACGAAGCCAACACTATAAGTACGAGAAATTGAAGAAGAAACATTTATGCAGCCTTCTATACAATTGTCTATCCAACTATAAGTTCTTTATTCTACTCTTAACAAGCATTGTAATTCACTTTAGTAGATTTACTGTGTACACAAAAGAGAGAAGAGAGACAGAAAAATATTGGAGAGGTAGTGTGTCTGAGAGGTTGTGTCACTGTTCGTTTCTTTGGTGAGTGAGTGAAAACCAAAGGATCGTTGTTGGTGAGCGAGTGAAAACCAACTCTTCTTTGTTGGTGAGCGAATGAAAACCAACTCCTGTTAACGTTGGTGGTGATCGCTGAAAATCTCAAAGGCTGTACTCAATTCAATTTACAAAGAGCTCTAAAAGACAACACTCTTGCAACCCAAGAGGACTGGATTAGGATACCACATTGGTTCCGAACCAGTATAAAATTCCTGGTGTCATTTACTTTATTGCTCTCGTATTATATTCTGTTCCTTTACTGTTTATTGTGATTAACACTTGTTTAAATCGAAAAGACTAACAGTTTTGGCTGTCTCTGCATAAGTCGACTAGGTCTGAAGAGTAATCGACTAGAAATTTAAAAAGGCTACAATGCCCCCCCCCCCCCCCTTGTACCTTCAGTATCCAAATACGTAACTTCTTATTTATTAACTCAGTTTCAGCACTTAAAAGTATTTTTCAGCAACTAATGCTTATCAGCTACTTCAAATCAGCCAATCCAAACGGGCTCTAAGTATGAGCAGTAACCATAGAGAGGATGATAGGTCATTATCATTTGAATATCATTATTATCTCTTAATTCTGAACGCAATTTTAGTGACAATTCAAAGAAACCTAAAATGTTTCAGGCTAAGTTATTCTGAGAATATTCTATTTACACCAATATCACATAAAATATTAAATATAAGTAGCTTGTGTGATTATGGTTCTACCACTATGTGATTATTAATAACCGTTAAACGTTACAAAGTTCTGTCTTTCTTGGGTTAATGATTTTGTATCTTCATGATGCAATTATTAAAGTTTTGGAGATCAAAGGACGAGAAGATATTATTTTCCCATCAACTCATAATATCGGGCAGATCAATAATTAACGAAGATGACTTCCACATTATGCCAAAGCAAGTCTTGATCTACTTTTCATTATGTGACAAAAACGTCCCATAAAATTCCAAGACGTAAAGATCCCTACGCAAATTTGTAGACCCAAATGTTTGGCATATAATGTCATTCAATTCATTGGCTCTCGTCAATTATTTCTTATAACCATATATAGCATCAGTCCCTTCGGCCGGGGACGGACGAATGAAATTGGAACGAAACAGACTGGCATGGCACTTGCATAAGCTGATACGCGCAATTCGACAAATAGCTAGTCTGAGCTATGTTCTATTATCAATAATAAGAGTTTTAAAATAATAGCGTAAGTAATACAAATACTTTATTTCCCTATCGCGTGCACTATTTCAATGGAAAAAAGGGAAAGAAATAAAAACATGTTTTGTATTGTTTTAGCTTTGTTACTTGAATTCGTCCTAGTCTCCTAGAAAGTTAAAATGTGCTAATTTCTGGGAAAGGAAGTGATGGATAATTAGTCTAATATCAGTGTCCAAATGGGAATAAAAATTTGAAAATTTTACACAAAAATCTCTATATTGCGGCTATATAAACTCTATTGAGATGAGTGCTAGCTCTTATTCATTTACTCAACCTCTCTCTTTCGGCTTAATAAGATATTGTTCCTACATCATTAGATGGCTTTCAATTTTTGCCTTAAAGTTGGTCTTGCCCTTTTTACCTTTCTTAATCTATATTCTTTCAAAGTTACATCCCGTGACCTACAAGAACTATCCATGCAGGAAAGGCATGAGAAATGGATAGTTCGTCATGGTCGGGAATACAAAGATGAGATAGAAAAAGAACGCCATTTCAAAATATTTAAGGAAAACGTTGAGTTTATCGAATCATTCAATCAGAATGGAACTCAACGTTATAAGTTAGCCATCAATAAATATGCTGATCTCACCACTGAGGACTTTCTGGCATCATATACGGGGCTTGACACTTCATTCCAGCAAAAATCAAATGCTACAACGTCCTTTAAATATGATAGCCAGCTGACTGATATTCCTCTTAACATGGACTGGAGAGAGAGTGGCAGTGTCACAGGAATCAAGGAACAAGGTCAATGTGGTAAGTCAGTTTTGTACCTATTCTAACACTTGACTTGTCTCTGTACTTCCTATCAAAATTTTCCCATCTAATTGCGGCTTAAGCAGTATTTCACACGAGCTATGTCAGCCTACTCTCACAATTCAAACTTATAGTGATTTTTGGGTTTAGAAATATATATATATATATATATATATATATATATATTGGTTCCATTTAAGTTCTCTTTCGATCGTGTATCAAATTGGTATTTACTTTATATTATTTTCAAGCAGTATTATAATTAGAGACACCTCTTTCTAAAAGGTGTCTCCGCTATTTAGTGTCAAAAAATTATATTGTGTATATAGATAAAAAAATCTTGTTCTAGTCTCTTTGGCAAAATTTCTACATCCGCTACTATCCCATCTAACACAAGTGGCTTACGTATCATTACAGGATGTTGTTGGGCATTTTCTGCTGTGGCAGCTATAGAAGGAGCATATCAGATTGCAAACAATGAACTAATCTCACTTTCGGAGCAAGAACTTCTAGATTGCGCTACCCAGAATAATGGTTGTAATGGTGGACTAATGACACAAGCCTACGACTTCTTACTTCAAAATGATGGCGGCATCACCACCGAGACTAATTATCCTTATAAACAAATTCAAAGCGTTTGCAGCACAGAACAATTATCCTCACCAGCAGTGAAAATCAGTGGTTATAAAGTAGTAGAACCTAGCGAGTCCGCGTTACTGCAAGCTGTAGCTAATCAACCGATATCTGTTGGTATTGCTGCTAATAGGGAGTTTCATTTGTATGGAAGTGGAATATATGATGGGAGTTGTTACCCTAAGCTGAATCATGCAGTCACAGTGATAGGTTATGGAACAGATGAAGATGGTACAAATTATTGGCTAATCAAGAACTCATGGGGGACTACTTGGGGTGAGGAAGGATACATGAAAATTGTTAGAGATGTTGGTGATGAAGATGGCCATTGTGGCATTGCCAAGATTGCTTCTTTCCCAACTGTTTGAATTGTTTCGGACAAAGGCAGGCATTCTATATATTATGTCGAAAAAAATAGTGGGTTCCAATAATTTCAATGTAAATTAGCTTGTCTTAAATTATATTGATGATTTAATTAAAACTTAAATAGCAAAGTTGAGATTAATTAATGTATTTCTTGCTTTCCACCTACCATTACTTTTTCAGGATGATCGTTATAAAGACAACTGCTTCTACTTAAGTATGTTTTCTCGTAATTGTTTTGTTTGTTTTTACTCATTGGCATGCATAATGAACCCAATAATATAATCATTTAGTCGAAAAAAGCGTTGGAATTAGCGTGGAATTCAAAGATATCTAAATAAAATTCTTGAGGGTCAGGTCAACTATTTCTTGTCAATTAAAAAATTTTAAACGGTAAATAATGTCCCTCTTCAGAAAGGATGTGGAGAGAGATTAAGGAATGTTTCACGTATCTTTTCACTATGAGGCATATTTTTTTCGCTTTGACGCATATTCTAGACATTGTTCTTGAGATGGGATATGATTGATGCTCTGTTTAGCAAATTTGAACAAAGCAACGCTGAGAGAAAGGGAAGTAAAACAAGAAAATATATATAGTAAGTACCCTAAAAGTAAAGAATTGAGGATGAGGGCTAGCTTACTTTGTGAAATTTTTCGCCTTCCATATTTAAGGTGGATGGTTCAAACCCCCATCAATTAAAAAGTATATTAGTCAAATTCTCGCTCTATATATTTTCTTCTTTTCCTTTTGGATAAGCTTGTCAAAACGCCGGGTAGTTAGATTATGGGGATAGGGATACTAAGGGAAAGAATATGACATTATATTTATTTCTTGTTTGGTTATGGATATCAACTATTTGGTGGGATAAATTTTATACAAAAATGGTAGAGTTAACTATCCCATATATAGAAGATGGGATAGCTAATCTATGGGATTCGGGTTATAGGACATCCTTGTCTATCCCTCCTGGTAACCAAACACAGCGGCGGCTCAAGCACATGAGGGGCCTAAAGTCAAAATTTAATGTGAGGCCTAATTTTTAAAAGAAAGTTATAAAATCTATATATATATATATATATATATATATATATATATATATATATGTGTGTGTGTGTGTGTGTGTGTGTGTGTGTGTGTGTGTGTGTGTGTGTGTGTGTGTGTGTGTGTTCTAATCTTCTCGCTTTTTGAGATACAAAGTTGTTAATAATTTTTTTGTAATCGATAACCTTTAATTATTCCTTTTAAATTGATAATATAGCCAACGCAGTTAATCTTTTTGTTGAGACATTATTGATTTTAGGTAAGATTTTATAGAGCAATAGAAGTATAGAACTATTGAAAGCTTAAAGTACTGTTGAATACTTAAACTAATGAAATCTTGGAAAAAGAAGGTGAATAAGAATATCAAAGAAAAAGACATAAAATACATATGTAGGAATTTATGAAATATGAAGAGATTGGGAAAAAGAAAGATTGACTTGGACAAGTTAAAGAAGGGTCAGTAAAACTATCAGCAGGAATATGAGTGTTATACTAGGACTCTAATAGATAAGTAACTCGTCCTTGTAAATAACTCATTCATGTAAATAAGATTATCACATGTTGTAGATATAGTTCATCCATGATGGCCTCTTATATGTATTTAAACTGTACCATGACTGCAGCAAATTGACGAGTTAATTCTTCTCAAATAAACTGTAGTTTTCACATGGTATCAGAGCAAGGTTGGAAAACCTAGAACTTGAGAAATCAGTGATGGGAACCCCAAAGGTGACAGATGCGAAGATAGTGGAGGTTAGTTCACCTATTTTTCTACATGCCTCGGACAAACTCGGGATGATACTCACCTCGTGCTTGCTTGATGGAACCAATTACACAACATGGGCTAGAGCAATAAAGAATGCCCTAAAGTCAAAGAACAAACTTGTATTTGTAAATGGCTTGATTAAAAAGCCACAGGATGGAACTTCAGAAGATAATTCTTGGGAGACATGCAATTCCATGATCATATCATGGATTTTTAACTCTCTTGACTAGAACTTGCACGACAGTGTTGCATATGCTGAGACTGCCAGAGAGATTTGGATCGATCTTGAAGAGTGATTCTCCCAAGGGAAAGATCCAAGGATCTACCAGATTAAGAGAGACATAATCCTACTCCTAAAAGATAGACAAACTTTGTTAAGCTATTACACAAAGTTAAAACCATTGTGGGATAAGCTGAATGACCTCGACCCGTTGCCAGAATGCAGTTGTGCAGCCAAGCAGGAACATCAATGAAGACAAGAGCAGGAACGAATTTATCAGTTCCTTATGAGACTCGATTCTGGACTTTATGATTCCGTGAAGTCCTAGATCTTAAACGCTGAGCCATGGTTAATTTAAGAAAGGCATATGCCATGGTGATTGATAAGTGGGGATTTTGACTACTTATTAGCGCCTTTTACCTTTTGTTTTAGTTCAAAAGTGTTTAATTGTGTTCCCAAAAAATGATAAAATGTGCTTAATTGCAGGAATATTGGAAGATGGACTCCCAAGATAATATCCAACTCAAAAAGGAGTAATCGGAAATCAGGGCCATAAAAGGCATAGAAGCCCAAAAGTGCGGACCGCAGATGATGAAGGAAAAGCCAGCAGAGTTTGGTGTAAAGTGCGGTCGGCACATGAATTGTGCGACCGCAAAAGATGGCTATGACCAAAAGTTCAGAGAATGTGCATTCTAAGTCCACCAGAAGTTCGGACCGCATAGGAATTGTGTGGCCGCAGAAGAAGAGCTACGCGGCCGCAGGTGTAGAAGTGCGGACTGCAAAAAGAGTGCCTTGCGGCCGCAGATCAGAATTATGCGGCCGCAAACCTCCAGTTCCTGACAACTTGAAGAAATCTGCGGACCGTACGTGGAATAGGCGACCGCAGAACCTCCTAAAGGGCATTTTTTTCTGAAATTTTTAGCCATGTATAAAAAGACAAGTTTCATAATTTGAGGTTAACTTTTGACATCAGCAACTACAGTAGTCGTTTCTCTTTGCTTCTTTTAGTAGTCTTTCATATTTTGGGATATTTTAACATAGATTTTATCATTTTGATTTTACGAATATGAGTTTAATTAGCATCTCTTCTTTTTTTTCTTCAATTTCAAGCATGAGTAGTTAGATGTTTACTAGGGTTATGACCCAACCCTATTGTGTAAACCTCATGGGTGTTTAATTTAATACTTGTTTATGGTTGGGTGTTTATTATTTATCCTTGTTCATGCTTTAATTTGTGGAATTAATGGTTGCAAACATTAGTTCATGCCTATTTGACTTAGTCTCTACTTGAGAAAGAGAGACTTAGTCAAGGAAAACTTGGCTAACAAGAAATTGGGTCAATCGAGAAATTGATAATCCCAATTAAAGGGTTCAACCTAGAGATAGTAATAACCCGACTTTAGCTTTTATCAACCATTTTGAGCAATACCCATTTGGACTTGAGAAAGCCAGATAGAGCAAAACCACTCTCTGACCAAGAGGCATTGAGTGGGTAACTAAGTGTTGATAGCTAGAATACACCCCGATCAACAAAACATGCATTAAGATTGATATCCCACTAGGCAAACACCTAGGTGCTTGGTATAGCCCTAGGCTTTTTACAGAACTTGAAAAACAACAAAAATAATTTCCTAGTTTCATTTCCTAACTTTGAAATCTTAGTTTAAAATAGACATAGAAACAACCCCGATTTCAGGAAATGTAAATTGAGATACTTCAAAACCACGTACTATACTATATACTCCTAAATCCCATATATATCTCCCTAAGGAAATCGACCCAGACTCTTGTTGGGTATTACTATTGCAGTCGACCGCTTCATATCCTTGATTTGAGGTATGAATTTGACGAGATCAATTTTTAGCGCCGTTGCCGGGGGAGCTAAAAATAGCTTTAGCTATATATTTGCGTGTGTGTGTGAATTGTCTTCTTTTCCTTCCGTGTTACTAATTTTTGTGAATCAATTGTAGGTAGAACAATGGCAAACAACAATGATCAACTCGGAAACATCTCGGAAACATGCCTTTGGGTTCCAAAAGATAATCACCAAGAAGGCTACAGCCAGTCGAGGAAGAAATGTAGAGCCCTCCAAATCCAGTTCTTATGCCCCATCTAGGGAAGCATCGGAGGGCGACTCAGTTCAAGAGTCGCGAGCTGTCCAATCAAAGCCACCGGGGAGGTATCAACTCCTGGACGAGCCTTCCTCATTACATAGCACCTCCGAAGGTTCGGAGAGTTCCAATCTCGCTTCGGAGCCCTCCTCTACACTTGTCCATGAGGCACCAGCGACTATAATTGATGATATTTCGGATGATGGCCGAGGGGGTTATACTACAATTGCCGGCCATAAGAGGTCGAAGAAGAAAGAGGTCTGGGAGGACCGGTTCGTCAGTCTAGCTGCCTTCACTAGCTTGTGTGGGTGGTGGCCGGTGAGATCGCTCACTCTTGAGTGATAGTTCCAACTGAAATACCTTGACAAGGACAATCCGGCAGTCTTGAGATAGTTCCGAGAGCAGAAGGGGTGGATGTGGTTCACCCAGAGTGTAGTGGACGCAAAGGAGTATCTGGTCTGGGAGTTCTATGCCAATGTGGCGCACATAAAGAAAGGGACCAAACTGACCAAGCAAGGAATCTGAAGGTGCGGTTCGACCAGCACACACTGAACTCCTACTTGGGGTTTGAGGATGTTGAGCCTGCACAGTACTTGGAGAAGCTGGCGATGGGAGATGCAGCTCGCCCATGGCTAGCTGAGATTCTTGCAGCCCCGGGGCCACCACCACCATGGATCACAACAAGGATTCCTATTCAGCATAACACCCTGAACTTCGAGGCAAAGGGATGGCAGATTTTTGTATGCAGTAGACTCGACCCGTGCCACAATGAAACAAACCTTCCTATCCCGCGGGCAGGTCTAGTCGCCTCTATTATGGCCGGGTACCCGATCAATGTGGGTGTTATTATATCGGCCAACATGTCTGTGGCCGCCAGGCAAGCTGATACCTCCTACCCATATAACAACACCATCACTGAATACCTTACGGATGCACAGGTGGAGCCGAGAGATTTTGACATGAAGGTTCGGGCTAAGAAGCACTTCTCATGGTATTCGTTGATGGATGCCACAACCCTAAGAGAAAGGGTCAATCGACTACCATCATAGGTCAGTCTGATGAGCCATCGGTGGTCGCT